ATCAGCATGCAGCGAAACTGGGAGTGCTTCCAGGAAAAAGGAGTGTCCGTGTGCAAGAGAAACCAAGCTGAAGCAGAACCCACAAGCGAAGCAGAAGCCAAGCTGAAGCAGAACCGATAGGGAGGGCTATGACCTAAATCAGAAATCCTAACCTGCCAGAACTTAGCCAGTTTGCTGCCAAACCCTTCACTCCCCAACCCTCAAGCCTGATCCTGCCTAGACACCGTTTAGATGCTAGGTAGTATCAGGGAGACCCCTTAAAGGGGACCCTTCTGAACACTACTTCTGGCTCTCTTAAAAGGGACCTGACCTTATTGAGAGAGTCTATATCCCCAAGGGTCCCCCCTAAACCCTAGAACCCTAAAACTCTAAAGCCTAAAGCCCTAAATCCCTAAAGCCCTAAACCCTAAACCCTAATCCTAGCTCCCATTGGAGAGAGTACTTGAGGTCCCGGTCTGATACCGAAGCTCCTGATCCTCCGCACAGAATCCTTAAAAGAACCCCCCCCTTCCCTTTAGGGTTTTAGGGTTTAGGGTTTAGGGTAGCTGAACTACACACCTTAAGTTTTGTTGGGATAGTATAATCCCTCGTAGAACTGAAAGTTCACACTTTTTTGTGCTTATGAACTCAACAACTACGCCCCCCATATAATATACCCTCTCTCCCCTCCCTAAACCCTAAACCCTAAATCCTCAACCCTAAACCCTAACCCATCTACCCTCTCTCCCCTCTCTGCCAGAACTTCATTTGCGACATCGGGGCCGAGCCCCTCCGAGCAAGGCCGGACACCAGCGTCGGCGCGGCACCCAGGAACCCCAAATCCTCCCGCCGGGATTTTGGGGTTTTTTTGGGGTGTAGGGCCTTGCTTGAGTTGAGGGGTTTAGGGGTGTGTAGGGCCTTGAGTTTAGGGGTTTAGGGCTTATAGGGCCTAGAGTTTAGGGTTTAGGGCCCTGAGTCTAGGGGGTTTAGGGCTTAGGTGTTTAGGGTTTGGGGCTTCTGTACGTGTTACCCGGGTCCCGAACATATGCGGAATTACAGCCTTTTGGGCTTATCAGGTGCAGGCACAGCATTTCATAGGGCTTTTACACGGTTTCATAGGGTGCTTGTAGGCTCTATTCATAAGGTGCTTATACGGGTTGATATGGTTTCTGTAGTCTTCCCTGATTTCAGGGTATGTTGAAGTTGCTATAAAGGGTTTTATATTGTTTCCGCAGGCTTCCTATGTGGTCCCTGATTGCGGAATACACCAAAACTATCCGTCAATCGTATTACGAAGCGCTCTGTAATTTAGGGTAGGTTTCTTCGTTCAGGTAGTTTCCTTTGTTGACGGGTTTTTGTGTTTGCAGAAACTCATCGCGCAAGTACGCAGGTTGGGCTTTAAACGCATCGTTTTGATTTCCATCATAATAATGGAGCCGAATGCTTGCTATGTTGCCGAATGTGATAATTTAGTGTTGAGGTATACCTACCAAAACCCCGTTCCAGTTATTATTACCCATAGGCCCCTGAGCAGTTCCTTTTTATGGTTTATATTTAGAATCCTATTAGGTAACCCCAAAAAGGAACTACTTAGGGGCCTATGGGTAGTTAAGCTTGGGTGGTGGTTGGTGGCTCTCTCCTGTTCTGAGACTCCCCTTCTTGTATGTAAAAGTCATAGTGTTTATAGAGTCTAGTTTGTTAGGGTCATCATTTTGTGCTAACGACCTACAGTTCAAAAGTGGTTATGTAAGGTTATAGTTCGCAGAATTCGAGGATGGATTGCAGCTACTGCTTAGGGTGCACAGTGGTGCAGACTGCATAAGGTTTTTTCGTAGCTTGGAAAGACTCTTAGAGCATGTGCAGTATGAATGAGGGGGGGTGATAGAGTTTTGGAGGGTAAAGGTCCAGTACCATCAACCGGTCAAGATTCCATGGCCCAGGGCCCTCGAAGGCCGCAGGTTTGTCTGTAGTATTTTCAGGGCGACATATTGTTATTATGCTCACGACTGTGACCTATATACGGGATTAGCATCACTGAGCCCGAAATGCAACCCTCTCAAGGCAGCCCAACATCTAAGCCTGAAGACGATTCAGTGTGCTATGAAGGCCCCGACACTTTGGGCACACCAAGCACAACCTGGACCCTGAAGAACCTACCTTTTTAGGGTTCCTTATACTATGAATTCTTTATCTAAGTCCTTACAAAGGTAGGTTATTTGGGGTTTTGGAATACCCTAAGCCATATTCGCTTAACTTGTTCTTGGACTTCCTGTACAGCTCAAACCAATGAGAAGTTCGTGGAGCCTGGTACCCTAAGCCAACAAAGAAGCCCGAACGATCTAGGGCCACTTTTTGTGCTCAGCTTGCGGGACTTTCACGGCCGTGGGCTGGTGTACAAGTGCCGAAAACCAGGCTGGGCTTCGGGATTTAGAGTTAGGGTTTAGGGACCCTGCAGGGTTTAGGGTTTAATGGCTTAAGGGTTTAGGGTTTAGGGTCGAGGGAAGCTCATATTTAGGATCCTCCAAGGTAATCCCAACAAGGAACTACTTTGGAGCCTATGGGTAGGTTTAGGATTGAGTTTTTCGGGGTGCGAGGGTTTTAGCTTAGCAGCTCCAGAAGATACGGTTGCAGAGAAGCTTGGATTATGGCCATAACTTTTGCTCTCTTTATTGAAGTCCTCAGCTACCACCCTAAACCCTCAACCCTAATCCCTAAACCTCTTATAGAAGCCCCTAAACCCTAAGCCTTGCATAACCAATTATACCATGCGGACGGAAAAGAGGTGTCAAAAAAAAGAACCTTGCACAATCTGACTTAGTTGTTGGGGGGTTCTTTGCTCTGCTCAGACCCAGGAACTCTCAAAAAAAAGCAGTACATTGGTTTCTCAGGCCCTTCGGCTAGGACTAGGATAGGTGAGAACTCGTTGAGGGCTTAGAGTTTAGGGTTTAGGGAGTTTATGAGGGAGTTTAGGGTTTAGATTCTGTGTTCATGCTAGAGAACTCGGCGTCAAAACACTTGATGCCTTGGGTGCCTCTTTCATCCCGGCAACCCACTGCCTTTTCATGTGTACTTTTGTTTACATCATACGAAGATTCCCTGAAAAGTTCTGGTGAGGTATACTCCTTATTTAACTGCGCAACAAGTGTATCGGGAGAAGCACCAAGCTTTGGGAACCCATGAAGAGTTGCCGTGTTTTGGTTCACCCGTTCACGTTAGGACAAAGATCTACGGAAGAGCCGCGAAATACTATTAGACTATGTGGACAATAAATGGGCGCAGGGTGTCTACATTGCCCCTTCTGAGGACGTGAGACATGGTCACGTAGTCCGCTTCGCGGACGGCACGTTTGTCACCAGCTTGCATCTCAAGCACAACTTAGTCGATGCCGATGAGTTGGTGGATCTGAGTGATCTGGAGCTCTTCGGGTATTTGTTACAGAGAGTGCTGCACTCTTACGCCCGAGAAAGCCCAGCCTCAAACCTCAAACCGCTCAGCCGTTGCGTTCAGGGTTCGGGGTTGTAGAGTTTAGGTAATATAGGGGCCTAAGTACAGATCTATACTATCTTGGGGTACCTGATTATGATTATGGTTCTGTCTTGAGCCCAAAACCCGATTCTAAGCATTTAAGGCCCCTACATTCGGCACTCTCCTGGTCCCTGCATCCTAAGCTTCGTTCCTACGCCCTAAAGGCCCTAAACCCTGAACTCGTCTGCTCATTTGCTGATTAACCCTGAGGCTCAACATCGCCCAGAAGCCTCATATAGTATGGTCTGCGGGCCCAAAAGCCTTAAAATATGAGTCCTTAGAGCCTTAGTGTAAGTAAATTGAGAGGAGGCTGAGCCCCGGAGTCCCGAAGTCGACCGTAAGGCGTGACCCTTCTGTGCAGTAGCACCGTTTCATGGCTGAATGTCTGAAAGGAGCCCTCTAAACACTCACCAACATCCCTGATGGAAGCCAAACTTCATGGAGAGATGCCCTGGTGCGTGCAATGCCGGTGTAATGTGCATTCTCGAAGTGCGTTTGGGGGGTAATCTCGGCACTCCCAACGTTGCAGGGGGTCATGCAAAGCGCCTGCGGCAATACCTGCGGCCTGACGGGAGCTTGCAGGGGTGCCCAGTGTGCTCTTGATGAGTGCTTTGATGTTGAGATTGTTTCCCTGCATCTTTTTTTTTCGTCCCAGGCGTCAGAGTGATATTGAGTGTATGATGTGGTTGGTTTCCGGGGTTGATTCATCAAACATCCGGTTATTAGCACACAACGCAAACCACCAAAATCTGTACACACACACATGCATACATGGGTACATCCATGAATTATTGAATACATGTACACATACAAGCATGCATGCATACATAAGTACATACATCGCATGGCATTGCGTTACATTAAATACATGCTTGCATGCATACTTACTTACTTACTTACTTACTTACTTACTTACTTACTTACTTACTTACTTACTTACTTACTTACTTACTTACATATTTACATACTTGCTTACTTACACACATGCATGCATGCATACATACAATATTAATCAGTTCATGCCTATCAATGTACATGTCTGTTACATATGCGCATACATGTGTGTATGTATACACGCACACACACACAGACACCCATGTGTAGAAAGAACATTTTCAAGATCACGTCGTCGCTACCACCACGGCCACCTTTACGATCAGCTCAACTTTCGTCCTAAGCAGCATCGTTGTCGCCAACAGCCCACCGTCAACATCCCCCTCGCCATGTCACACCACCATGAACATCATCGTCATCGACATCATACTATTACTTGTTTTTTTCGTTGTCGTTGTCGTTGCGAGCAGCATCAACGATACCAAGATCATAATCACAACCACCATCCTCATCGGCATCGTTACCAGCAGCATGGCCAGTTGTATCATCATCGCCATCATCATCAGCATCATCATCACAACCACCTTCAACACCCTGCTCCTCCTCCTCAACAACAACATCATCATCTTCTTCTTCATCAGCATCATCATAAGCATCATCATGTTCTTCCCACTGTTGTCATCACCCTTATTATCGTCGTCATCATCATCATAACCATCATTATCATCATTATCATCATTATCATCATCATGGTCATCATCATCATCATCATAATCATCATCACCATGGTATTCTTCATCGTCATCGCATTATACAAGCCCTATTGCTTTGAAGTATCCCTATTGGTTCCTTATAGTCTCCCTTCTTATTAGTGTCCCTCCCGTAGGCATGCAAGGCTCGAGGCGGGTGTTCCTTGTGTATCTGTGCAGGGTTTAGGGTTTAGGGTTTAGGAGTGTCCCGTTTTGGGTAGTCCTTATCGAAGCAGCGAGTGTTTAGGGTTTAGGGTTTGGGGACGGTCTTCGTCTTCTTTTGAAGCAGTCGGATGGTAAAGAATGGTTCCGGCACTGCGAGCCGTTTTTTGACACAGCTCCTGTCGAGGATGTTTTCCCGCCGTTCAATGTGCTACCCAGCACCCACCCTCGAGCTTGAAAGACCTACAATAATTACAGCAGAATGTCCATGCATCCATGATGTTCCAGAAAGAACTGCCGTCTTGCTCGGGAAGCCCTATGAATGAATTTGGGATTGTAGTTTAGTTTAGGGCTACTGCAAATTTGCCCAAAGCCGCTGAAAAGTAATCAGCAAGAGATACTTATAGTCTTCATCTCTAACACAATAGCATTTTAAGACGCCCAAAAAATCTGGTCCAACTCATACTTCAGTCCGTACATCATCCTAATTCTGAAAACCGGAAACCCTATTTAAACCTCAATGAATGGCTGTTATGAAGCTAGTCCTGCAGTATTCCGAGGCTTTGCCACTTGGTGCCCCGTTGATGATGCACCGAACATTTCAAAACAGGAGCCAGGCGCGGAGGGGCTTTTTCTTGCATGGTGTTTGAGGGTACAGGGTTTGGGGAGGAGTTTGCGGCTAGAGGGACTCGTGGCCGAAGGGTGTTGAGGGTAGTTAGGGATTTGGGGTTTGGGGGGCAGATGGAAATCTTGACATGTTATGATTCTACGATTGCTTTCTCAATGGCAAACCTGGTGGCTTTGCCTTGCTGCCTCCATGGCCTTTTTCCTTGCACGTGATAGTTGCAACGAGGATATAGTAGCAGACTGTAGGTAACCTTAACATTGAAGTGTGTTGATACGTCTAGCTCTCCTTTTGGGAGGTGGCACCTGCGGGGGACCCGATGTGTCACAGACAGATCCCGAACAAATTCCAGGGTTCTTTTGTGGGGTGCCTTTGAGGCTTAGTCATCCAAGAAGCCTCTGACGCATCGAAAGAGGGTTTAGGTTTTAGGGTTTGGGGCAACGAAAGAGGGTTTAGGCTCTAGGGAGTGGTTCAGACTCAGGGTCTGCGGTAGGGTTTAGGGCAAGGTTACGGAGTGAGACCTGGTGTCGTTTCTTTGTTTTTGAGCTCGATGACTCAGTTGCTTTCCTGCGAATATCCCCATGAGCTTTCTCTTGGGCGTCTGATATTGCAATGACAGGGGCCTAAATCATTACCACTTCTATTTTGGGTACTCCTTATGATAGCTACAGTATAATATACCTATTCACTAGGACAAGCTGTCTATACCAGTTTCCAGAGGTCAAGGCTTGCTGCAAGAGGTGTAGGTATGTGGCAAAGTCCGACCTGTCGAGTTTCTAAGATGTTCCAGAACGTATACTATCTAATCTACAGGCTCTTCCCCCAAACCGTCCAAGCATCGAGAACGTTATTTAAACTGCTCCCAGTTTCAGCCGAAAACCTCAACTCTAACACCGCGGCCCGTGTTGATGTAGTTCCACCAAAAGTTGGCACACTTTCCGATCGCTTGGATGCTTCATGACCTAAACCCTAAACCCTAAATCCTAAACCATGACCAGGTTTTGGCGCTTGGGACTTTCGCTTTGGATTTTGCCCCACCCCCCGCCACCAGTGGCATAGTAGGGGCATAGAAGGGCCTGAACGCCGCTAGCATGGTCTCTCAAAGAGAGACCCGAAACCCTAGGATTACCGAAAATGTTGTAATCCTTATTGGGGGCCTATGCCGGGCAGACGTAAAAGAGTCAACCCAACTGTAAAAAAAATCCTAAACCGAAGTTAGGGCTCGCAGGGCACATAGGAAGGGTGCTTAAGCATTCTCACCAGGCAGATGTGACTGCTACCAGGAGAACGCTGCTGAGGCCATTTCCATGGGTTTGCGGAGATAGATGATGGCATGGTTTGATAATTAACCCCTTCCCTTGAGAGATGAGGGGCTCCTCATGGGATCCTCTCTGGGCTCCGTTCGTGGGGATGGAAAAAAAAGGGTTTAGGGTTTAGGGTTTAAGGGTTTAGGGTTTAGGAGTTTAGGGGTTTAGGGTTTAGGATGCAATCATGACGGTGTAGGATTATCCATTGCTCGAGCGTCGCTCTCGTCGCCCTCTCGGAGCTCTCTCCTCGCTGCAAGACTTGGACTGACCACTTGGTCTAGGACATTTTCGGGTGGGTAGTTACTGTTTTAGGAGCCTTATAGAAGGTCTATATACCTTATAGCAGCCTTATGGAAGCCCTACATACCCTAAACTGCCCACCTGCAGTTTCATTTAACTTGGTGGGCTGCAATGTATCCCACACGGTCATCCAATAGAGTATCCCACCAGTTTTTCAGGGGTTTGTAAGTTCGATCCAAAAACGAACTGGTATAGTAGTATAGTACGTCTTAAAGTATGTCTGTGCATCTTGAAGGCAGGTGTATAAAATTTGAAATAGATGCAGGTGACATTGTACAAAGACGAAGCCCCGTTCCCCTCAATCAACTCTCTTATCGCCTGCCGTCCCCTTCGTCTTTCAGGTCGAGCTTCCGCCGGCGGTTGCGGCGCCAGGCGGGGAATGTTGGGGCATTCGTCGTGGTTGCCGTCATTCTTGCAGCTACACACTTTCCCTAAACCCTAAACCCTAAACCCCTGAACCCTAAACCCCTAAACCCTAAACCCCTAAACTCTAAACCCAAACTTCGTTGCTGGAAGACTTGGGTGGGTATAGGATGGTCATGCACCTCTAGGGTTGGTTCGGCTCTAAGGCCTTCGAAGCCTTACCTATATAGTCTCCATGGTAGTTCCTTTTTTTTTTTGGGGGGGGGGGGTACCATTGAAAATCCTTAAGATATATTTGGTTAAACCAAAAAAGGAACTACAATGTACAATGGAGACTACATGTAGGGCTGCAGTGATTGGAGATCGTTTGGAAGATCTTACTTCGATTTTTTGGTATACGTAGTCGGGACGGCTATCTTTGTGCTGTTCCTGGTATCCAGACGACTACGGGAAAGCTACAAATCCTAAGCCAAACCTGATACGCCGAAACCTTATGAAGGGTTGCAAGCCCTATGAACCCGATTGTTGAGCCCAAGGTACACGTCCTGCACATAGACATGAATCGTCAACCGTAAGCCTATAAACCCAACAAGATCGATTAGTCCTTAATTTACCTTATGACTCTTGTTCGTTGCATCCCAAGCCACACACATCGGTTCGACATCTTTGTGGCTGCTTGCGGTCGGTGCTGTCGCTGCTCGATTCCCCTCCTGCATTGTCACGCGCTAAACCGCTCGTGTTGGCAGCAGACTAGTCAAGACTGAATGCGGTTTTCAGTATTGCAAGGCAAGCAGCATCACGAGGGACTATTCGATTACATGCGCATAACAGGCAAGGCCTGTTTAGATCACGCTCAACATCTGGCAATCCGAGTCCACTTCTTTCTTGATACAGCAACAGCCTTGTCGATGACTGACTCGGGCATCACCTTTACCAAAGTCCTCATTGTGTTCATCACCAACATCATCATCATCATCATCACCATCAACATCATCACCATCCACATCATCATCATCATCAGCAACACCATCATTATGATCTTGTGTTGATCATCTTCATCTTCATGCTCATCGGCAAGCCTGCCCGACAACGCAGGCATTGTCCGATTTGAGACCTCCGTCGTGGGGTTTGGCAAGGAGCGGCGCAGTCATGTCAGAGTCTAGACTATGAGGTCTAAATGCTGATGCCGGGCAACGCTCAGCCTCAGGCGTATTCGTCGAAATCTCAAACATATGTCCCAACACCGCAGAAAGCTTTCCTCGCAATAGCCTTTGAAGCCGAGCCCTTACCCGCTAAACCTCCGAATTCGAAGCCCTCAGCCCCTGCAGAATCCTCGTAGAACCCTCGACGCCTCAGAGAAAAACCTTTCGAACACCCAGCCTCCTATCACTTTGTTTCCTCAAAAGCGGGCTATGTAAGTCCTCTCTCTCTCTCTCTCCGATCCGTCTATCTGTATATATGACATGTATCACTGTGTTGATATTCCTTAAAACAAAAAACCTAAAGCCCTACATACCCTAAACCCTAAACCCAAAGCCCTACATACCCTGAAGCTTGAAGCCCAAACTCAAACGCCCCGGACCCGATGAAGCCTCCACGTCTCGCAGGAGGCATGGCCGATGCTGGAGTGCGGGCTCCCATTAACAACACATGGGTTTAGGAGTTAGGGGTTAGGATTTTAGGGTTTTGTCGGGTTTAGGGCTTTAGGGTTGGGATGTTGAATTTGGGATTTGGGGTTTAGGGGTTAGCGTTTAGGGGCCATCAAAATCGGGCGTTTGTTTTGACGGAGATCCGTATAATCAGGATCCCAACATGTAAGGTCAGAGCTGGGTCGCTGTGTCAGCACCGAGCTGGCAGTCTGGAAGCTTATAGAGCAACTCATTGAACCTCTCTGGTATGGAAGTCTGAATAGAACCCTACACTGTAGACCCCAAATTCGTATCTATGTTTCTTAGACTTTCGACATGGTCCAATTGCCGATAAGCACGAAACTGGCCGAAGTCATCGGAATCATAAGACTAGGCCTTGGTGCACACTATGGTGTTTAGGGGTTTAGGGTTAAGCTCTACGCCCGTTTTCACTCCCTAATCCTCATGCTCTCAACACGAAACCTTGAATCCCCAAACCCTGAACTCTAAACCCTTTAACCCATACTCAGACTGCAACACCATGGGAAACATATAACATACATAAATGCCGCCACACCTTCACCAACCACACTTAGCTGACTAACTACCGGTGCAAAGCAAAGCCAAACCCTAAACCCTAAAAACCAAAAACCCTGAAAACCATCAAAAAACCCAAAAAAAACCCAAAACCTTCCCCAAAAACCCTAAACCCTAAAACAACCACAAAAACCCGAAAAAACCACGAAAAAAACAAAACAAGACCCTAAACCCCAAAAAGGCCAGCCTAAAGCCCCAGGCCGCAGCTTCGAGGCGCCTTCTGGGACCTCGTGGGCCCTCCCGGCGCCTCCGGCCTGGAGTTGTGTGTAGATTTTCGAGGAGTTCTTTACGAATTTCTAGGAGTTTCTAGGAATTCTAGGGGTTTTGCTGGGGCGTTTGGTAGGGGTTTTTGGGTTTAGGGCCTCAGGATCTTGGGTTTAGGGGTTTGGGGTTTAGGGTTGAGGGGTTTAGGGGTTTTGGGTTTAGGGGGAGTTGGTTTGTAGATTTTCGATGAGTTCTTAGGTTTTTCCAGGAAGCGTGGTTTTAGGGGGTTTTGGATTTTTAGGGTTTTTGGGAGTTTTCCGCCTCACGCTTGAGGCCTCGGCAACGGCGTTGGGACGCCTCGGATGGCACGAAGGTACCACCGTGACGCAGACCGATCCGGTCCGCAACGCGCCTCCGCGTTTGGTGCTCCGTTCCGCCCCTGTCACCATCGCCAGTAAGTGGGGAGTCTCAGTTGGGTGGCGACGGAACAGCCGAAGCAGTTGCGATTGCGAGGCAGCTGGTGGCAGAAGGAAAATCTTTGTGGACCCCGGGAACCGCAGAGAGGATCTACGAGGTCCCTCCGCTTCCATCTTCATTGTTCCCCGAGGCGGCTGCAGCAGCAGCCGAGAGTGGGGAGGCCCCTAGGCCAGTGGCACAGAAAGCGGTGCATGTGGTATTGCCCGCCACCAAAGACAATGGAGATGACAAGTGAGGAAGCTTGGAACCAGGGCTACCGAAGCTGTTGGCATTTCGATGCCCGGGAGGCCTGCTGCAACAGAGCCTCCTCGTTCCCCCACCTCCTTGCCGTCGGTGATATACCGACCGGGGAAACTCATAGGGAAAGCTTTGTTGGAACCACCGCGGGGCATGATCAATATCTCTGGGATCTCGGTACTTTGGTGGTCCTTAGGTTTTGCTGGGGCGTTTGGTTTTTGGTTTGCCGGCTTAGGGTTTGGGCTATACAGGGGTTAGGGGTTAGGGTTTAGAGCTGGAGTTTTGCTGGGGCGGTGCGTTTTTCGTTTCCCGGTTTAGGGGTTTAGGGTTTGGTGTTTAGGGGTTTACGGTTTACGGGTTTAGGGTTTAGGGGTCAGGGTTTAGGGGTTTTGGGGTTTAGGGTTTGGGGTTAAGGGTTTAGGTGTCAGGGTTCAGGGGTTAGGGCTAGGGGTTTAGGGGTTTATTCTTCCTTCTACAAGGGTTTCTGAGCTTCTGGGAGGTATGAGGATCGTACTCTGCGGGTTTTGGGACTTTAGGTTTTTTTTTTGAATTTTGAGGGTGGTTCTACCAGCCCCCCAAGGTCTCCTCTCATGAAGGCCCTACCCGTAGGCCCCTAAGTAGTTCCGTTCTATGGTTTATCTTTAGAATCCTAGAAGGTAATCCCCAAATGGAACTCCTTTGGGGGTTATGGGCATCTAGGCTACGGTCGAGGGCGGTTTGGGAGTCTGGGTACCGCCGTTGGGCTTTTGGTTTCCGGTTGCAGGGGTTCAACGCTTACTGGTCTAATCTAGGAGCCTGATTAAGAAACCTTGGCCCTTTATTAGGGTTCTTCATGTGAATATATATATATATATTGATATTGGGGTTAGAGGGCCAGGGTTTCTTCATCAAGCCCCTTCACGAGTATTGCTCTAGAAGCTATCTGCCAGATGCTAAACCCTACACCATAAAGCACTAAGCCTTCCGGATACCACCTAGTGATGCAGACGGGAGAGGAGCTCAAAAATAGCTAAGCCCCCCAAAGGAAAAGAGAGCTAAAGCCCCTAAAGCCCGCAACCCTACACCCCACTCTAATGTAGGAAACTCTAGACCCTAAAACCCCTAGGCCCTAAGCCCTAAAACCCTAAAACCCTAAAACCCTAAGCCCTAAGCCGTAAACCCTAAAACCCTAAACCCTAAAACCCTAAACCCTAAGCCCTAAGCCCTAAAACCCTAAAGCCTAAAACCCTACACCCTAAGCCCTAAACAGTAAACCCTAAAACCCTAAAGCCTAAAACCCTAAAACCCTAAACCCTGAACTGAAGGTCCCACGGCCTGAAGCAGGTTCTGGGCTTCGGGGCTCCGAGGTACATACGACCCCGAACACCCAGGGTTTGGGTTTAGGGTTTTTGGGTTAGGGTTCAGGTTTTAGGGTTTCGGTTTAGGTTTAGGGTTTGGGGTTTAGGGTTTAGGTTTAGGGTTTGGGGTGAGTTGCCAACAATACTATAGTACTACTGGAATAGTCCTGCGTAGAATATATACTGGGGCATTACCCCATTGCTGCAATCATGCCCTTTGATTTGTGTTTGAGAGTTTAGGGAACCCTGAAAAAGGAAACTTACCGCTTGAATCAGGAATCTACTCTAAACAATGATCCTGTTTTTACATCATAGCAACGATGGTGCCCAAACTCCAACAACCATGGATAGGCAGCGGCTTTGAGCAGAAAAGCAGCTATCGCCCGTCTTTAGACACAGGCGCCCTGCGCGTGCGCGCGCGCGCGGGTGTGTGTGTGTGTGTGTGTTTGTATTGGGTTTGTCGAAAATGGGTGGGGGTTTCTGAGGGGCATTACTGTCAAGAGGGGGTTGGTCTACAAAGGAGTCATAGGTTTTGTAAGTAGAGGGTGGTTGTTAATACGGCTGATGATATGAATCCTGCATTACCCCATAATAAGGAATATACCATAATTCCCATGGTTTAGGGTCCTTAAGGTAATGCAGGACTTTTATCATCAACCGTATCAACCCCCAAAACAACCTGCCAAAACTAGTT